TAAAACATTTGGCAAGTTACAATTTCAAATGCTCACGGTGGCTCAGCTCTGACGTGTAATACTTGAGTCACAGAGCTGGGCTAACTTGAACTATGTTCAGGAGGAATTTTGGACCGTTCTTCCTCATAGAGCTGGTGTGAACAGCTCGTTGAGCTCATTCCACAGCATCTCTGTTGGGTCGAGGTCCAGATGGCTGATTTTGTTTAGAGCTGTTCTGTAATAGATTTACTTCACTGTTTTGGGCCACTGTGCTGCTGCAACACCCAACCTCTGCTGAGCCTCAGCTAGAGAACAACCACCCTGACATTATCCTGTAGGATTCCTTGATAAATTATGATGCTCCCTTCACCATTGGGATAATGAGTTCATGTTGATATGAAATAATGTTTTTCACAGAGTTGATACTGCCCAAAAATAACAGGACTACTGTACCTGTATGTATGGTGTAAAAACAAAATCACATACCAACATGAAAACATCCCAGTGGTGAAGTTTGGTGGAGGGAGCTTGCCAGTCCTCCAGGATAATGACTGGGTGGCTGGCTTCCATCTGAAGCTCAGTACAAGTTGGGCGATCCAGCCAGGAAAATGACCCTAAACATTAAAGTAAATTGATTACAGATTGTATTCAAAACAAGAAAATCTGCCATTTGGAGGGTCCCAGTCAGAGCCCAGACCTTGATGTAGCAGAAATGCTGTGGAGTGAACTCAGAGCTGTTCACACCAGACATCCTATGGGAATATGGCTGGGTTGAAGCAGTTTTGTGAGGAACAATGGTCTAAAATTCCTCCTGAACACTATGCAGGTCTGATCCACAACGCTTGTTTGAGGTTATTGCTGCCAAAGGAGATTCAACCACTTATTAAATCTTAGAGTTCACTTAAGTTTTCTACCAGCACTTTGAAAAATGAATGGGTGTGTTCAATAGACTTAGAATTCTAAGTGTGGTATTAGCTTAACATGCAGAAAACCAGGTAATTCCAAATGGTTCCCTTACTTATTCTAGCCTCTGTACACTGACTCTTCTGTCTTCTTGCTGTCGATCAGGGGGTGAGGATGGTGCCGCAGGGCTGAACCTGCTCCACAGAGCAGACGGCCGAATCCTCAACCTGGGAGCAAAAACTAGTGTCAACCTTGAGCCTGGGGTAAGACTGCATGATATGCATGTGAAAGAAATACTAATATACACAGTTGTCAGTTTGCAAGGTAGGTACATAAAATGGAAGGTAACACAGTTGCTAATAAATCCTCCATTAATGAAGATAATTTTCAGTTTTAACACAAACTAAAAAAGCCAGCAATCGTCATCGTCTCTGCATCTCCCCCCCTACAGGACACATTCTGCCTCCACACCCCTGGAGGGGGAGGATACGGAAGAGAAGAGGAAGGAACCCAAAGACCTAAAACAAAGCGTAGGCGCATAAATGAGACTTTCTCCGAGCGCGGAAGCGTCTTTGAATTCCGAACTGTACAAGAGGGAGTGTGAAAAGAAATGAGTTAAAGGAAAGTGACTAAGAGGAAGAAAAAAAGCAAAGTGGTGAGTAGAGGAACGCTACTGAAATAGTAAATTCCACTAACTGTATAATTAACTTCACAACGGAAATAAATCACCTCTACTGTTTAGTGGGGTCATTGTGTCATCAGTTTTATTAGCTTTTCAAACTAATATGTGTGTTGTATCGTTATCCTATTCTTTGTTATTCTAATTTCTTCTGTATGTTTTTCACCACTGAAGAACTCCAGCATACTTTCAGCTAGAAAAACCATTCAAAGATCAAGATGTTGAAGCATAAGGCTGTGTAATATAACAAAATAAGCAGTATTAACAAGCAACAAACAGTGTAAACAATGCAAAATAAGCAGGATAGACAGGCAGTAAACAATGCAAACAGACAAAGGAATGCTCATTGAAATGAGATAAATAGGGATAAAAATAGAGTACTTAAAAATAAAGACCTGTACGGTTCTGTATAATCTGTACAATGTATATTTACAGGTATTGCACTGAGGGTTATTGTCCAGTCATATTGTCATGGGTAAAGTGTTCATCAGAGTCATGGCCTTGGGAAAGAAACTGTCCTTGTGCCTGGTTGTTGCTATTGGATAACACAGCTTAGCAAGGAAAAAGGGGGGGCTTGGTTTGATGCAAGGCATCATATTTTCATACATACATATATATTGTCCAATGCTCGCTCTCTGTCCATCATGAGGCTTCCTGGCTGGACTTGTTCCCATAAGATGCCACCTCCAACCTGTGCCTGAGGAATGATTAGTAATAATTCATGTTTGTATACTACAACTGTAAAAGGTTAACTGTGAAATACTGTGTGACTGTTTCTCAACATCTGGTCTAGATTCAAACACACTGCTGTGTATTTTCTGTATTAATTTCCATGGTTATGGGAGAAAATAGCGCTGTTACTCAGTGGACTACAGTTCCATCTTCCAATAACTACAACACTGAAATATACAGAAGAAGTGCTTGTTTAAACAGTTGAATTTCATACCTGTCCCTGATGCTCAGCATCTATAAAAGTCATCCTTGTTGAAGCAAATACAGTGTGCAACATTTCTGACTAAAATCCATAGAGAGGCTCATTATTAAAACCCTGACCTGCCATATCACACTCAGTGGTGTTTACCACTGTGCTATCCACCTGCTTTACAGGAACATATTTGGAACTTTTACTGGCTTCTGGTATTGGTTAATGAGATTGCACAAGGATCTAAACCACACTCACAAAACAAATCTATGATACCTTGACAGGGAACCGAACCCCAACATGCCATACCACAGTCGGCGTTGATAACCATCAAGCTATCCAGCTACTGGATAGACACATATCATGCTTTTGGATGTTGTAGTGAAAGCAACTTGTTGATTTTCTGACAGTCTAGGAAAGCCTGAGATTGTAGATCATGACTAAGACTAATTGGTGTAATGCTGTGTGCCACCACTAAAGGGCATCCTTACTGTGTGCTGAGGAGAAGGAACTGGAAAAAGAAAAGTTACAAGACATGTTTTAGGGTTTTAGGCAAAACTGTGGCTTATTCCTCCCATTTATTTGATCTAAAACCAATAATATTCAGAATGAATAAAGGGGGATTTCAGATAAATGTAAGAATTTACAGTTTTCGGCTGCTTTGCAAGTCTAGCAACACAGTTTATCACACATTGTCAAATGTAGTTCATATCTAAGGAATCAGAACCGTGATCCGTCCTGTTGTTTTTAGTCAACACTGGATAGTACTGAATGTTAGGAACAGGAACTGTTTACTTTTTTTGACAAACACACAAAAATATCATAAAATCATATTTAAAAGTTGTATTCTATTGTATTCATATTCTGCAAGTTGTCTTACAACAAACCATAGACCTGCATCAATCCAATCCACTACTGTCTGCATTCTCATGGTGTTTTTGCTTTTATTATTTTTCCTGCTCCACCACAGGTTGATTCTCCAACTAAAGATGAACATGGCACACAGACTGAATTGCAGCAAAATGGGCAGTAAATCAAGATATGTGGAACTTTTCAACTTCTACACAGTGACTTTAAGCTTCTGTCTTCCTGCTCGAAACCTTCTGAAAGATGGGATCAGATGCTCACCGTAGCGCATCATCATGTGTGTCACCTCCTTCCCAATGGCCTTGCCTCTGTAACTGGGCTCTGTAGAAAACAAGGGGAATATAGTGTCCAGATATAAAGAGATATACACAGGAAATGATTGAGGTGTACAAACCACAACACAGGCTGACTGTAGATATTCAGCCTTTGATTTTGAATCACTTTTAAGATAAGCACACTGGGGATCACCTGCTATTATGATCTCCAGCTCAGCCGAGGAGAGGTCTGTTTGATCCATCAGGAACATGTTGACATCTCCCACCGTGCACTGCTCCTCTTCTATACTGGGATCTGTCCATCGCTGCTTATCCAAGATGATGAATGTGCACTCTGGCAAAAAATAAATTCAAATTAAACAGCTTTTCTTTAAGTAAAAGTTGAATGATTTTACTAGTGCATGACCTCAGAATGAATGATGTCTTATTTTCATATCATATCCATTGATTACCAGTTCTTTATAAACACTTTAACCTAACAAATCTGATGGATGATAGTATGAATGTCTGGAAGGAATGATTTGGAAACCATAAGGACAGAACTTAAAAGCAGTGTTGACCTCATGAAGCAAATGTCACAATCTTATTTAACTTTATCCTATCATAAGTTGTATTAAATAAGCTTGTTATAGATAGTGTCATCTTATTTATGTAGGCACTGTAAAAATTCTGAATGTTAAAAACATAGAAAAGTAAAAGAAGTTCTCTCAGATTTATCTTTCCAGACACTGCTGAATCAGTTCAACCAAAGATTTTTTTCCTCTCTCTGTTTATTTAGGTAGTTTTCAGAAAAATCAAGGTGTCCAGTTATTCACATGAAAAAATCTAAGGCTAAAGGTTAAGTCTGACAAGCTTTCAGATTTATAACAACTGCTTTAGAGGATGAATAAGAGCATGTACTGTGTGTACATTTACTGCAGAAGAAGTCTTACTGTCATCATCTTCCCTCCAGCTCCCCAGCATGTCGTACTCCGGTTCCAGTGGCTCTGAGGCGGTCAGATGCTGCAGCTCAGGACACTTCATCCATTTATGATACCTGAAGAGTTTAAACAGGTGGATAAGAGACAGGGACTGCAGGTTTCTACAGCTTTAACTTAATCATGTATCCAGAGGCCAAAGGACTGGAGCTGGTTCTGCTGTGCTAGCTAAAGAGACTTCAAACTGTCAAAGGAGCAAAAGCTGGTATTGACAGCTGGGCCAGATGTGTCACCTGTCCTAAGTTATTTCTTCACCTTGTGCCAGCATGGACAAAAAGCTTTCAAATGTTCCATGACAAATGAGACTTCACGATATGATAGAAAGCTCCAGAGAAGCTACTAAATGGAACTTGTGATGAGATTGTTCTCTTAACATTATTATTAGTTGCAGACTTATTTAGAAGTCAAAATGAAACCCATTCACCACGTTTAAAGCACAGGTTATTGTTGACTCAGGGACATACTTTACACAATCCAGCAGGACACAATGCTGCTACCAGTCATACATGTAAATTCATGAGAAGCAGGAAGGAGATAAAAGCATAGCTGTGTGTCGTTTGTGTTTGGGGGAGGGGGACAAAGTGACATTCCCTCCTCCCTTCTTGGGGTCAGCAAGGAGCAGGGGAGGATGGATTGTGCGGGAGTGCAGGCATGCGTAGGCAGCTGATAAAAGCTTTAGTGGCCACAGCAGCGGAAGCAGCAGGAGGCTGACAACCACTGAACTTGTTGATGAACAATTCCAAAAAAGTTGGAATGCTGTGTAAACTGTAAATACAAACTGAAGTGTTTAAAACCCCTTTAACTCATATTTATTTCAGTACAAAGATATCTAATGCCCAGATTAATATATTTTGGTTTGGATAAGCTCATTCTGAAGTTGATAGCAATAATATGTTCCACCAAAGTTGGGCAACAAAAGACTGGAAAGGTCGTAATACTAAAACACAGAGAACGCCTCAACTCTGTAGTTTAATTGGCAACGGGTCTGCATCACGATTGGGTGTAATAGGGTCATCCCAGACAGGCTGTCTTTTAGAAGTAAGGACGGGGTAAAGTTCATCACTCTGTGTGGCAAATAGTTCAACAAATGTAACATTTCTTATTTCAAAATTGCAAAGATTTGGGGGTTTTCATCATCTAGGGTTCAAAATATCCTTAAAAATTTCAGAAAAGTATCTGTAAGTAAGGGCAACACTGAATGGCTGTGGGCAACACTGCATTAAAACAGACACGATTCTGTAGTGGAAGTCACTGCATAAGCTCAAGAACACTTCTGCAAACCAGTAGGTGAAGGCAGTTTGTCACACAAACGCAAGTTACAACTCTACCATGTAAAGAAAAAAAAAAAACTTGTATACTAACTAGTCACTTTATTAGGCAAACCTGTACAATGGTATGCAGCCCTTCTGCTTTAACATCTGTTTAAAAAGTTCAAAATGTTTGTTTTTGGTAAAATTGTCATAAATGTATAAATTCAATTATGTTCATTATTGAGTTCATAGTTAAAGGTGGTGTTCACCTGGACTACATTAAATTCAGAAGTGCCTATATTTTTGTCGTCCCCAGCTACATACATGAGGGTCAGAAAATTAGGAACGCCTCTAAATATAATGTAGCCCAGTACAACACTACCTTCAACTATGACCTCAGCAATAAACATTACTGAATTTATACATTTATGACAATTTCACCAAAACCTGAAACACTGAGCTTCTTAAACACAGATGTTAAGGCTGAAGTGTTGTAGTGAACTGCATACAACTGTACAGGCGCATCTAATAAAGTTGCCTGTGTGTGTATAAACAAGATCCAGTGACACTGCCACCTTCTCTGAGCTCGAGCTCATTTAAGATGGACTGAGGCAAAGTGGAAACTGTTTTGGGGCCTGACAAGCCAAAATTCTTTTTTGGAAACCATGGATGTTGCATCCTCTAGGCTAAACAGGAGAGGGACCATCAGGCTTGTTATTAGCGCACAGCTCAAAACCCAGCATCTGTGATGGCATGAGGGAGCATTAGTGCCCATTGTATGAGTAACTTGCACATCTGCGAAGGCACTGTTAATGTTGAATGATATATAGAGGTTTTGGAGCAACATACGCTGCCATCCAGACATCTTTTTCAGTGAAGGCCTTGTTTATTTCAGCAACACAATGCTAAACCACAAAGTGCATATATTAAAACAGCATGGCTGTATAATAAGAGTCCAGGTGCTAAACTGACCTGCCTACAATCCAGACCTGTCACTCCCTGAAAACACCCAGTGCACTATGAAGTGAGAAATATGACAAAAGAGGCCCCAAACTGCTGAGCAGCTGAAATCCTATAAAACAGAAATATGAAAACATTTCTCTCTCAAATATAAAGCACACGGTCTCCTCACTTCCCAAAAGGTGATGCAACGCAGTGGTAAACATGCCCGGCCCAACTTTTTTGAAACGTGCAACATGAGATTTCTTTTTTCCTCAGAACAAAATTTCTCAGGTTCAACATTTGATATGTCTTTGTACTATTTAACATTAAATATTAGTCATAAAAGATTTCCAAACCATTTGTTTACTTTTTTTTAAAATTGGGGTTGTAAATCAGCTGAGCATGTATGGGTGCTGGAAACTGATGCAGATGCTATGGACTGTGGAACAAAAATTCCTTGTTCAAAGATCACAGTTCCTGTTGTAAAGCCATCTTACAGAGATGATTCGAAACTTACCCCCTGCTGTTGCTGCCTGGAATGCTCTCTCCACTTTATCTTCTGGCTAATCATCATTATGGGAGAGGGTGAGTTTACATGAACAACAAACAAGCATCAGTCAAGGAAAAGTCTGTGTTCATGAAACACAAAATCTTCAATTAACTAAAAATACTTTGTGAAACAAAGCAGCAACACTCACCTCGACCAGTCATGAGGTAAAAATGCATGTGGACTCTGATCAGGTTTTAGACATCTCAGAGAATGAAAGCATACATTTATAGGTTCATGTGTAGACTGATGGGCAAAAAAATGGCAATTTTATCCATTTAACCTACATCACAGTGTGCAAAAGGTGAGAGTCTGGATACTTTCTGAACCAACTATACAACACTGACAAGCACAGTTAAAATAAACTTTTATTACATCACATCTTCAACTCCATGATGTTTGATACATCGACTTGTGAGAAGAGTTTTGCACTTTAGTTCACTACTGTAAGAAACTTTACCATGACCTCAGGAAAATGGCCAAAAAAAAAAAACCCTAGCATTTCATTCACTTGTTGAGGTATAGCTGTTTCTTTTGGAAGATGGTCATAATGACATTAAAATAGTGCAAATAACAGCAGTGCAAAGTCCGTGGGAAACCCAGTCTGAGGTAGATACTAGTAGTTATGCAGTGGTTGATTGTCTCCAGTGTCATGAGACCACAGAATGCAACGTTTCCAAATGGAATCTAAAATACAGCTCAAATTGAAAGCTAAAACACAACAGAAAACATTAGGTAAATGTCAAGATGATATATTTAATTACAGGGCCAAATTGGAATATAAATATTTATCAGGTTAATAGCTATACAGGACTGAACCATCCAAACTAACTGAAATTTAAAACAGGAAAATCATATCCACTATATTTATACACTGATCTGGCAGCCAAATTTTTCATGTTTTCACTGAAATTTCCACTTTTTTAACCTAACAATCCTACACTGCATTTAAAATACTGGCAGGACAAACTAGAAAAAAATAGTTGTATACGTTGCAGCTAAAATTTACTCTCTGTGGCCCAGCTCATCAATGTTAGTTTTTCACAAGTGTAAAATCCAGCAATACATTCAGTAGTCACAATAATTAGACAACATTCAAAAGCAATTCATCTAAAAAACCATTCATGCAAATAGGACTGAGTGCAAATAAGACTGGCAGTGCAAAGAGTCTGTAGGAATACACACTAATTCATTGAATGACTGAGGTGGATTTATAGTTGTTTGAGGTAGTTTGCTCAATGAAACCATGTAAAATTCCACAGATTGATAAAAGGCAAGAAGGTGTTTCTTTTTTAAATATTGGCCTGAAAAAAAAAAGAAACACTAGCTTTTCATCTTGCTACAATCACTAACACTGTCTGTGGATCGGCATCCTATGTATGTTAGTAGTGTCAATGTTGCATGGAGGTAGTGATTAAAACTTTATCCTGGGGGAGTTGCAGCAGAACTGAGTCTCCTCTGTAGAGCTGAATTAAACCTCTCCTCTTGCACCATAGTCTTTCAGCATCCATGCATGTTTGAGTGACAGTAATTCAGTCAGTCAGTACTGAGGGTACCTGCTTAGGGGAGGCCCATTTTGGAGTGTATACTGACTAGGTGGTTGATGATGTGGGTGAGAGTTCTGATTGGTTGGTACTAGCACATCAAACACACTCTTGTTTGGAGGCACAGACTGCAACATGCTGTCTAGGTCCATATATATGGGCGGAGCTGGGACTGAAACCCGCCCACTGGGAAGGATGGGCCAATATGCATGACCTAAGAAGTGACCAGGTGCCATAGGAGGGCTACCATAACCATAAAGGGGAAGTCTGCCATGTAGTGGCATCAGAGGACCTCCGTTGAACCGCATGCTGGGTGGGGCAACAGCATTGGGGGGAGCATATTTGGCATAAGATGTAGGGAGCTCCCATGGTGGTGCAATGGTTTCCCGTCTGGCTGACTTGTGTAGCGGTGGCCTGTAGTCCTCACGTCCATTTGACCCTGCATCACCATCAAGAGGAACACGCTTCCCAGACAGGGACAGCCCTTTCCATTCTTCATCAGAAGAGGAGGCAATGGAGCCGGGGCTGGAAGAACTGGCAGAGGCACTATGAGCAGAGGATGTGTACCGTGGTCGTGGAGGAGGAGAGGACAGAGTGCGCTCCACCTCACCCCAGCAGTCCCGGGTAGTCACATTTACATCACCAGGTGCACTAGTTGGTTGTAGGCTGTGTAGCAGGGAGTCAATGGCAAAAGATGAGTCCAGCTTAGGTTGGAACAAGTCCTCCTGTGGTGGGGAGGGGTTGCCAGAGCTCAGGGGAGGGAAGGAGGTCACAGGGTCAGAGGGTAGCTCAGACTCTGGCTTGTGTCCCTGTAGGATATAGGGGGCCAGATCCTGGGCAAAGATTGTCTCGTCTTGGCGCGACACAGCCGTGTTCTGCCTCTTGAGGAGCTCCAGAGGAACACGGCTAAGGTCCACTGCCCAGAAATTGCCTTTGCCCTGGGGCTTACCAGGGTCCTTCAGCACCTGTGAGTAGAGGGAGGATGGACAGTGATATGAGTGTTTGGCTTGACAATCTAGTCAAACAGGGCTGGCCTAGTTTCACAATTAACCATCACAATAACAGTGAATCAAAAGATAAAAACAGGTTTTAGTTGTAGAGTGAAAGAAACCTCTACCAGTACTCTTTTTCAAGAGCGCTAATCTGACATGTTTAGGGTTTTATTCAATAAATTATACAGTTAAAACATACAACCTTAACAAAGCAGTCATAAGAGGAGAGGTTGTGTCGCACCGAATCTCGCCACCCCTTGTAATTTCCTTTGAAGAATGGAAAGAGAGCACTGATCTCCTTCAGGATCTGGGAAAAACCAAACAGCACACTAAGATATGACTGCAGAAGTGGTTGCCAACTCAAATTTATAAAAAAAAAAAATCTAGCAGTTATACTTAAAATAACCAATACAAGAACAGACTTTGTACAAGCATATAAGAACATGTTCAAACCTACTGAGCCAAAAGAAACGTGATTTTACTCTGTACTGTATATCTTATCACTTTGCTGATACACATCGGTGTCTGGTTTCACTACAGCCCAATCTTATCAAAGCAAACCAAGAATGGTGCAGATGGTAGCCATCCAAGTGTCACTAAGAGGTGGCTGGTTTGTGTTGCCTTATAAAATGTAAAATGTGAACTTTACAGGATAGAACATTATCATGCAACGCAAACACTACAGTTCTTTCCATGTGAGTGATTTTCCTCAACAAAATATTGCTGAAATAAAGAGAACATCATGAGCAGCACTGTATAAAACATGAAAAGTGTAATTTTACAGATTACCTGTGAATTACCTCAGATAATGTAAGTTTCTTCTCTGGAGATCTTTGGATGACCATAGCAATCATAGCAAGGTACGAGTACGGTGGCTTTGGATAGCGCTGATAGTTCTTCTTCTTTCCACCGCGGGTGCTACTCTTCTGTTCAGTGGTCCCCGAGTTCTGGGTAATGTTTTCCAGTTTGGAGTTGTTAGCTTGAGCATTCGGGCACGATGAGCCCGTTTCTGAAGCTTTATCCATAAACACAGCATTGACACCGGTGAGATGTTCAGGGCACGCTGCGGGCTTCTCCGAGCGCGGCGGCTGTTTTGGAACCATCTGAGCTGGATCTCGAGGCCAGTGCTGGGCTGGAGAGCTCCGCGTTACACCGCTGGTAGGAAAACTGTGCTGCGCACGTCTGTGGAAGCCAAGTTGATGTTCTCCAAGGTGGGACAGGGCGGGTGGTGCCACGAAGCTCTGCCAGTGTTTTGTCATGTTGATGAACCTCGGGGAAAGATCCGCCCGCACGTTCGGACAGGGACACGGAGAGGGGGGGAGGGATGTCCAAGAGTCGGTCCTTAACTTCTGGCAGACTGCTGGCTCCAGGCTGACTCTAGGCTGACTCTATTTGAAGAGCAATTAACAGTTTCATGTAAATCCCGCTGCGTAATCGAAGACAGAATGACGCGTTATCTGAGAGCAGAATGGCTGATCGCCCCGGGGGTGGTTTGGTTTGGAAGTTTGATTTGGAAACAGCGCCTAGAGGATTTATGCAGGAGAAGGCAACTTAAATATTCATGTTTATTTTTATCACTTATAAAAACTAATGAAATAACTCTTATACCCATAAAAACTTCACTGTTACATTAGTATTTAACTAGCAGGATGTTCCCGAGAATGACAACTGGGCGAAAACTAAAACTGGGTGGGGTGTAAACTAAAGGTAAATAAGTTATTTCGATTGAGGCTTAATCAACAATATCTGGCAAGCAATATACATACGGAACGGCTAATATACAAACACTGGAAGATTAAGCAATTATTTGCATAAAATTGAGGAGCACTGCTTAAAAAGAAGGTTCTCCCCGAGACTACATTCCAATATTGACTCTTTGGAATTTCTTTGAGACTGTGGGGACTTAATTCTGTGTATCTGAGTTGCACAGGCTGTTACAGATGCAAGTCAGCCATATACCCCCCTCAAAAACGTATTTCTTTTTTTAGGCCTATTTACAAATCGAAACTGCTCATCAAATGCAGAATAAATAATTTGGAGCCATTATTGTATAGAGCTCAGAGCGCGCAACAGTCATGTGTGTTGTGCGCACAGTAGGGCCCCCCATGGGACTCTGCAGGATGTCATTCAGTGTTGAAGACTAACTTTCGGGAATGCATATCTTTTGTTCAAGTTAACGCAGTGCTAATATGCAAACCCTTGCTTCCCAGCAAGACAGTGAAAACAAGTTGGATTAGAAGGAACCCCGCTGGCAAGGTGCAGACTGCTCCTTCCCAAAGAATCTGCTTAGCATGTGAGGAAATGCAAAGGCTATTCAACACCAATTGTGGGCTTTCTAACGCTTACAGGCTGCAAAGTGTCAGCGCTAGGTAGAGCATTCACACCTTAAACATGAGCAATCATGTCCCATGCTCATAAACTGTTGGAAACAAACAAAAACTACTCTGCTAAACTTGAGAATCAACAACCTACAGTAAAACTCCGCCGTTGACTTTTAAAGCATTATCAAAGGTTTATCTTACCCTTTAATCTTAATAATGGTATTGATATCATAATGAAACGCGATACTCTTGGATCAAATGACTAAGTCACCAGAAAGATACAGAAACAACGGGACTGGATTCTCACATCAGAAAGATACAGAAACAACGGGACTGGAAACAAGTCGATTCTCACATTGGAGGCACATCTAATCATTATCACACCGAATAACTGCGCTGCCATCGGGTCCTGCTGTTACCTGGTCATTAACTAAACATTTAGCGTGGCATTTAACCCACGCTGTGTGCAGCCTGCCTGCAAAATTCACCTTCAGTTTTAAGTGCAACTGTGCCTTCACTTTGATGACACACGCCCTCTCACAAATTTAGCTTTAAATGTCCAGCTGATCCTGTTTATCGTGTGACCACAAATATGATACAATTGTATTTTATTTTATTTTTATTTTATTTTCGTCGCCTTGCACAAGCTTTGAGTTGTTTTCATGGATAATTCCACTGTGAAAAACTTACCAAGGAAAGTCCCAGTTTTTGTGAAACCTGTAGTAGGCTAATACACAAAATGCTTCCAGGTGTAACAGATGAGCTTCACCTGTGTCAGTGACTCTTCTCATGACTCATGATCATGACTCTTCTCTCTTTGCCACACGCTGCTGCACCAGAAACACTGACCCCCTCTAGTGGTTTCACTCAAAGTAGGTCTCACTTGCCCAAATAATAAATATAACAGTTCTCCAGACATCAGTCACTTTGAGACCATCTGCTTTAAATAAAAAAAAAAAAGCCATAGTTTGCTTCATGCATTTTTGTTTCTTTTTGAGCTGGACAATGAAACTTGTAATGGCAAACAACAATGTTCAGACCCCAATTTACATGCCTTCTCATAGTGAAGTGCTCTAGGCTAATTTAAATACAAACTGTCAGTCTCTCTTCCTGTCTGCTGGAGTGCAGGTTAATAGGTTTTACCTGGATTAGTGAGTACTGAATGAGTAGAATGGGAAACCATATGAATAGGATAGCAACCAAGCTAAGGCTGTTCACATAGGCTGATTGTGTCTGGACAAATCCCTTGTAAGCTTGGATGCATCCTGATACTGAGATTGAGAGGAGGGATGAAGTCTAGCTCTTCAGACAAAATGGAAGTGAGAATGTTTTCACTGTGCTCTCATGGTTCCACCGCAAGACTGCATACATGTTGTTCACAGTTTGACAGTTGTTCTCTGAGCAACAGTTATAATATGTGCTATAAAATTTACCAAGGGTATTACAACCCTACATCAGAGGTCCCTGAACTTTGGTTTTTATCATTTAGAGACATGCGCGACAGGTCTCCTCAGTGTTTGCTAGAGGTACCTGCCAGATGTACCTGCACCATGGCTACTGTATGCTCCAAACTACAGTGTGAAGCACTGGCTTAATAAAGTATAAAAAACATATTTTCTTGCTTTCATTTGCTGGTTTCGAGCTGTGGGGATACTGATATATCAGTCTCTAAATCCAGTGTTACCACTACTGCAGGACACTACTCAAAGACCAGAAATGTGACATTATACAGTAGAAACTTCATTATATGTAATTCTCATCTCTTTCCAGGAAAGATGACCAGGTTCCCACAGACTACGCAAAACTTTGCACACAGACTGTTACAAAGAAATTCTAATGACAACAGTACCTAGTAAAACCTATAGATTATTCATAATACTCTGGACACTGTTTCTGTAAATATTGCTGTTGAAATTTTAAAGTCATTTTTAATCACTGTGAGTCCACAGAAATTAAATTCCATTTATTACTACTGCAGTATGTGCAGACATCTCAAAGACAGATATTCGGGGTTAGGAAGAGAGTTTGTCATATGCTGTTCAGATACAAAGCACCTTAGGCAAATTTGTGATTTGTGATATTTGACAGGGTAAAGGTAGGGCTAAAACTAACTTAACTGATTCATTTTTTCCTGCCTGTAAATAAAAAATATCAATTTTGATGAGCAGACCTCTTGATTCATTTAGTTACTGCACATCACTAAATGAGGCAGTAATGTAGATAAATCCAGTCACAAATGAGAAAAACCCAGAAACACAGACTATGATTCTCTGTCACACAACCTTGAATTCATTCAAACTTTTCTCTAATCATTTTTTCTTAAGAAATATTGAGTCTCTTCAAAGAAAACCACATCCCTTTATACTGGAACTGCTAACAACTCAAATATTTGAACCATGACAAGGGGCCATCTTTTTTATTGTAAACTTGGACACAGCTGGTTTTATCCTAACCAAGGTGTTATATTTTACAACCTTATGTTTTTACTATAAAGTGTTCATCTAAAAGGTAAATACAACTGTCAGATGAATGTTGTGGGCTATAATGTACAACACCTGCCTCCAAAATGATGTGTAAAATTATTATTAGGAAGTAGACCGTAAAATAGAAACACGTACAAGTGTTACCTCAAAACTGTATTTAAGTACAGTACCTGAGTAAATGCACTTATTTTATATGCAATTATGATGATTATTATTCTAAAGTTGGTCAATAGCATCATAAATAGACAATGCAGCTGAGGTAGCCTAAGTATTAAACTGACAACCTAATCCTACCTCAATTCAAAGTGCTTTACATCATGCATACACACAGTAAAACATCAAAATGTGAATTATAAGAATAAAAGAAAGATCAAAGAAGATAAAGCATGAAATAAAATACATAAAAATAAATAGATAAATATAATGAATGATACTGATGAAAAGAAATGGGCAAAAAGAACAGTCTTTATCTTTGTTTTAAAAATGTCTACAGTTGGGGCAAATCTAAGTTCTAAGGAGAGCTGTTTCCAGCAGTAGGCATCATTATGCCCAGGCCCAGAGAGAGTTGTAGACCGTACATAAGGTCTTAAATTCAGGGACCCAAGGACTGGATTAAGGTTCTCTTTTATTATTTTTATTGTGTATAAATGTTGTCATATCATATTTGTTTTAGTTTATATAGGTTTTATCCATTTAATTCAACCTTTTTGATTTTTTACTTTTTATTTGTCTTACTGTGATTTATTTATAAAGCTTTTGAATTGCACAAACCTGTACAGGCTATAAAAGATGCCATATACATAAATTAAACGTAAGGCTCGATACAGTCTGCAGCCACCACGGCTTCTGCTGCCCCCTATCGTGTGGGAGGAGAGGGCGCAGCCCCGGTCGTTATGGTGAAATTGGAGGGACGGCGCAGGAGCAGGGCACTGCCGCTACCTGCTTATTCAGGTTCATATCCTCAGATCTGCTCAGGAGGCACCGGTCAACTCAGCAGGTGAGATATCGTTACCTGTCAGACTAGTCACCTGTTCTCCCCCCCACTTTATGTCGACTCTATTGGCTTTGCCTGGTGTTATCGTCTTACACAGTTAAACCAAGTTACACGGGACATTTAATTCAGTTAAACGCCGACTTAACTCTGAAAGGTAAGCTAACCTGCGGCTAAGGTATCTTAACGTTAGCATGACGAGCCGAATTGCACAACAGGTGATGCTCAACAGGTGATATTAACATTTTAACAATTAAGAATCACCTGAAGTAGGAAAAACTTACTGGTGTTGCCTGCGCCCCGTTGCGATGAATGAAGCCAGTTATCTTGAACGAGCCGCTGACGTTACTTAACTTGTCAGACTAGCCACCTGTTGAGCCTGTCTGTGGACTGCTAGGCTAGGTATGTTAGCTATTCACCTGCTCACAGTAAATCCTACACGGAATGGGGCAACACTTTGCCTACGTTGTTGCTGTTATGCATTTGCAGCGGCTATAATGTTAGTTACGGGGAGTTTAGCGCTAAAGTATACATTTGTAACACGCTGGCTGTACTGTATCGCAGCTCCATGATAACTGATGGGGCAGCATGTGTAGAGTCTACAGTAATCAGTGGTCCTGGTACAGCTGTGCGAGTTGGTCCACAGTCCACTACTATAGCCCTATACTTTAAGGTCTAACATTTCCTTACTTTAACCTAAGCATCTTTGACACACTGTCTTTGGTATATAAACATGTTTCTAAGCATTTCTTTCCCCAGGTGTATTGTATTGGCTTGATGTCGTGATGTTATGCCAGCCCCTGCAGTACACTGACCGACTTTAACCCTGACTTAAAACTCACAACCACTTATTCGTGTCAAGCTAATCTTGCTTATAAGTATTGCAACGTGTGGTCAAAGATATTTCCTGTAATTGCAGGTTTCACAATATCGATCTATATTAGCTTGTAAGGCTCCTTGAGGTACAGTGTGACAAAACGCACACTCGTATGAAAGCTCAAGAAGGAACTTAAATTGTAAGGTTAAACATTTCTTTTATTTGTAAAACTTAATTATTACTAAATTTAAATTTGTTAAATTATTATTTCAACACTGAATTTTGATCCAGTTTGTGTGTCTTCTGTTGCACTAACATCTTGTGGGAATGTAAATTCAACATGACTCAAGCAGTTATTTAAATGCAAAGTGTACTTGCTGGAGTTTGGCTGTCTGTTACACTCTATCTTGTGCATATACTCTCCCATGTTTTTCTTTTTTTGTGTGAGGCATATCTCTTTGTTTCAATGTGAAACATTCTGCAGATGGCTGTTATATAAAATACAACATCTGATTCTGTACCAATAAAGTATAATGCTATTGATTTTTTTCTGAATCAAGAAAGAGTCAACTGTGCATGCACATGATCACATACACAGCATTGACAGAGCAGATGTCCTGCACAGTTGACTACTGTAAAAAGTTGTGGATGTTCTTAGGCTTTGGAACTCTTTTTGACAAAAAGGCAGTTTTCATGTTTTTAGTGGGGAAGAACCAGTCGGTTTTAATGGGATGTTTTGAAAATAGCACAAATTCAAACATCTCTGGTCTTATCCTTTTCAAACTCTTTCTTCCTGTTTTAGGTCCTCCTCTGAGCCTGCATGACATGACCCTGCTTCCTGCTTTGGAGCAGTCAGATGAGTTAAAGGCTAGTTTTTCTGTTTCCTTTCCATCATTCCTCTGCCTCTATCTCGTTGCCTCTTTCCTCCACATCCTGTTGTCATCTCATTCTGTATCCTGCAATCCAGAACAAGCTTTAACTGTCTATTTTTCTATACATCTTCAAATCTTTCACATGCACACACCATGCTTTTCTTATGGCCTCTTAATCTCCATATTTTTGCCGCTCTGTGGCATTACTGAGGTTTCTGAATGATTACATGGAGCTGCTTAAACCTGTACACATGACAGGACTTAGTCCAGATCCCTCAGCTTCTCTCTTTTGTCGTAAATTTATTTGTCCTTCCTCCAGGGGCTGCAGCCAACAATTATTTCATGTCATTATTGGTGCAGATTATTTTCTTGATTAATCATTTTGTTCTATAAAATGTAAAAAAATTAATGAACAAACTTTATACAATGATATAAAATGTAGAAAAGCTCACATTACCAAAGCTGACACAGGTAATGTTTGATTATTAAACTTTGGTTGGTGATTTAATTTTCAGATGAACAACTAATTCATTTTGGCTAATTTCCCTTGTAAGTGATTTTGAAGTTGCAGGTCAACAGAAACAACCTTTGTGAATATTTGGCAGGTGGTGTACTGTAGGTCACTTGGCACTGGTTCAGACTGCCTACAGGATCATTCCCAAATCATCAAGCTGCACTGACTCAGCGTTGTTTGTTTCAGTAACTGGTCATGTCAAATAGCACACTGGCATGCTGGCTGTGCACAGCAGCTGAACAGTGTTGTTCTATAAAGGGGAACCATACTGCAGCAATGTCTGCCTATTCCCCATGTAGGCAGAGGCAGAGCAGGAGTTTTTCCTCTGTTCTTGTATGTTCAGTCACAATCTTTCCCAGTTAGGTACCATCCACTTGATGAATTGTGTGTGTGTGTGTGTGTGAGAGAGGGAAAGTTTGCATAGTAGTCTATTCATTCCAGCTGCTGAATGGGCGTTTATGTGCCTGAGTTGGGTCATTAGGTGGAAAAAGCCAGAGGTCTGACTGTAGATGTTTTGATGATGCTGGGGTAATTTTCTAAACACACTAAACATTTAGTCATGTTTGTCACTGTGCTTGCATCGTGCTGCCAATGTTCTTGTAGATCTCACCTCATCTTTTCTTGTCTATCTGACTCATGAAATCATAAGGCTCTGAACACTTTAGCCACAATTTTATTCCTCGTTTGTGCTCCGGTTTAACTTGTAGAAGGCCTAACTAAGTGCGACGAATATACCCAGAAATCCGGTGGTGGTGGTGGTGAAGATAGGCTGTACAAGAACCCTATGCTTAGTGGAAGTGTGTTCCTTTTCTGTTAGGCCACCAGATGCCCCATTTGCTGCCTAAATATTATGGAACATGTTCTTACTGGTCCTTTAAAAGTAATAATTATAATAGGAGCATTTTATGAGTTCAGAATGCCTGGGCTGTGCAACGTCCACTTTAGTCCAGTTTTTAAAATATCCTGACAAGACAGCAAACATACGAATGCACCTTGTGAGATACAGTATAACACACAATGCACATATTTCTGTGTACTCAGACTGCTGACTTTGCACAGTATTTGATTTACAAGGAGACTGTGTCATTCAGTAATGTGTTCTTGACTGTGTAAATGCTCCCTTCAGTTACACTAACTTATTGGCCTCAGTATTTGATATTCTCTTATTTACATAAGATACCACATGGATACATTTAAGTAATATTAGATTAATCTGGTGGTGAAAATTCTTTGTGTGAGAACCCAGAGCGGGGTTATTTCCAGCTCAAATAATGGACATGTTCTCAGTGGAAATGATGGCTTCAAAGGTGAAGAATAAAAATCATAATGCCTGAGCCTCTGATTGGCTTTGGCTGAGATATGAGCTGTGTGGCTTGCTCTGCCGAGACCACTAATAAAGAAACCTTGTCCTTTGCCCAGAGTGTGTGATTGTATCAGTCAAATAGCCATCCTCCCGGTTTCTTTTAATGTGGCCTGGACATGAGAAGACATTTTATTTGCATTAAGAACTTCTCTCCAACAAAAGCTTCACTTTATTTTCCTTGTTTTAAACAAAAACTTAAGTATTTTTCAAGTAGTACTCTCATCTTCACAGATCTTAAAATATGTTCTGTGTACTTGAGCAACTGATTATGACCCTATGCATTCAGTCAAATGTATAGTGTAACAGGTACACCACACTGTAGTAGTTGGCCAGAACAGGCTCTGCAGTCACATGAGGCAGTGTTTTCAGGGTAAAGGCTCAAACACAGTAAAACCAGTTTTTTTTTTTTTTTTCCACATGATCAGATTGGTGCTAAAATAAACTGGTGATGATACAAGGGACACATATTTACTGCCTACTTTAGTCCACATTATCATCTGCAGGTTGCATTATATCTGAATAAAGTTTCACTCCTCTCTCTAAAAATACCACAAAACAAAGTGCTTTTTTTCATTTGTTAACTATGGTTGACCAAAAACTGGCTAGGCTTCTTGCTCTCTATGGCCCAGCGTTATTGTTCCTCAAGGGTTTGGTTTACAACAGGTTTGTTTCTTGCTGACCTTTCAACATGAACTCAGACTTTGAATACCATAGCTGTTTCCTGTAGACAGGTAAAAGAAAGTGGCCTTATGGATCACAGGCATGTTATAAATGAACCTAACATTCATCATCCATATCGCCATTCTATGCATTTAAAGTTCATGTTTGTATTGTTGGAAGGAATAATCCATGTGATGACTTACCGGTCTGGGAGAGTGCAAGTTATTATTCGGTGTAAGGAAATCCTTACATTGTAGCTTTTGACGAAGGGTGAGAGGTTAATAATAGAAGGGGCATAGTAAAAGAAAATCTGTCTTATCCACAAAGCAGTAACTACAGAGATTTTGGTGCTGGTCAGCTAATGGAAACAGATCTGTTTGCTATGTGACTAGCCTGTACCTGAGCAGTGTTTATATACACTTTCAGGCTGCAGAATAGTTAACAAACAGGCTGGAAAGCAATGATGGTATCTACTGAAACTTTGATGTTTGAGAAGTGCAGCTTTTCAGATATAGTAAAAGTACACAAAGAGTGGTCGTTCACATACTGTTTAACTCAACAGTATGTTGAGTCTGGGGTGACCGTGGTTCAGTGGGTAGAGCAGTTGTCTCCCAACCGGAGGGTCGGGAGTTCAAATCTCGGTGCCTGCAGTCCACGTGTCGAAGTGTCCTTGAGCAAGACACTGAACCCCTAAGTTGCCCCCGATGGTTAGAGCCATCGGTTGAGTTGGTTCTGTACCGGAAACAAATTCCTTCTGTTTAACATACTTGGCCAAATAAAGGTGATTATCCTGATTATTATTAACACCACTCCATACTGTATCGGAGATCAGTTGCCACTTATCTCCAATTATAAGCCGTTATATCAAAATATTTTTTGAGAAATCCTTTTAGCTGGTGCTTTTCCTCTATCAGCAGCACATTCGACTCACCAAGTAGACACACTTATGGACCACGCAGCTTCTGGAAAAATCTGCAGAGTACTTGAGTACTCATTTATTAATAGCTCTCTCTCATAAGAAAGTATTAATTAATAGAATTTGAACACGTATAATTGCATTATTACCAAGCAGTAAGAATAAACATCTACCAGAGGGATTTTTCACAACCTGGCAATCTATAAGTAGAAATTATTAGGCCAGGACTGCTCTACTTTAAATTCAGCTGTTTCTCCCCACAAATCAACAAACTGCATTATTAAGAATATTTCAAAGCCTTTAACTGTTACTGTCATTTCATTGAGATAAAACAAAGAGGAGCCCTATAGCTATCTGATTTGATTCACTGTACTTTTGTTCTTCTGTCAGATGATTCATGGTGCGGTGCAGTCTATCCATCTTTTCAGGTAGCTGCTTGCTTACTGCAGTGGCCCAGGACTACTTTGTTGTTATTCACACTCTCTGTCTCACTGAGTGCCTCTAGTTGATGTTCTCCCAGCACCCACAGGTCCAGGCCTAAATAATAAATGAGTGGCCTGGTAAGAGCAGAGTGTTTGTGAGCCATGTAATGAAGATAACCAAAGGCAGTGAGAGCAATCTTGTTGCCTGAGCTTAGAACGTGCATTGAAACATGTCACATACTTGCTATTTAACTGCTGTTCCATATCATTCTCTCAGTGTTGCCTTGTTTGTACACAAACAGCATCAGCAAGTGTGTGCCAGGCTGCGTGATATGTCAATCATTAATGAAAAGCGTCCACTGTCTCAGGTTTCCTTTGGGAGAAGAGGGTAGGAGCTCAGAGATTACAGGATTGTGAGAGTAGTGGAGTACATTTTACAGGAACAAAGCACTCGCAGTTTTCCTTGTCTCAGCCTTTTTTACTTCTGTCTCCATGCCCACAGTTGTGTGATTGATGCCTTCAGTGTAACCTGAAATGGCCTGAAATGTTAAAAAGCTGTCAAAGTACACACCAACAATAATGGCAAGTTGACTTTGGAATAGTTTCCACTCGCTGCCAGGGGATATTTAACCAAAGTAGATTTGTGTGATGTTTTTATTGCCATTGCTTAAATCTTCTGATACACTGCCTCTGGTTATCCACAGCTGGTGTGGATGGGACGCTTATGTTTTGGAGACCTTTTTTGATATGATAAGAGTTTATCTATAAAATAGGAAAGAGAGGGCTTTTGTGTTGCTTCTAAAATTGTGTCTGTCACCTGATTTTACAGCATAAGTTAATGTGATTTGAGACATTTTACTGCTGGCATGAATATAATATTTCTGTGCTCTCCCACAGGGCCTAACGTAGGCCTGTTTGGCCTGACAGGAGGGCCTGTTTAAGGGGCACAAGGGAAATTTGGAAATTTGCAGCTTCCATGTCTTTGTGGATTAAGAGAAACAAACTGGAATAAAGAAGCAAAGTGGTGTGGTGGCATGGCGGCGGATCACAGCGAACTGCTAGCTGAGATGGCCACGGTAGGACGCCTGAGTGCCCCCGACCGGCTGAAGCATGCCCAGAAGCGCCGTGCTCAGCAGATGAAGGCTTGGGCTCAGATGGAAAAAGAAGAAGCACAAGGTGCAAAAGGCAAAGCAGATAAGAAGAAGGCATGCACCACCAAAGTGACATTCCCCAGTGCTGTCGCCCTTCTAGATGCAGCTGCACGCAATGACCTGGAGGAGGGTAGGTAGAAGCACACACACCTTCAGAGTAAAGTCTTTCTGGAGAGCTGTACATTTTATGTACTGAAAAGTTGTAACACTGCATTGCATTCAAAGAGAAATTGGAGGATCTTTTCTCATAATTATGAGAACAAATCAATGAATTATGAGATTGCAAGTCTTAATTACAAAATAAGATGTTCCTTTTTTTTCTTTAGCTAAATGCAGTGTGTTTCCTTTAAAGCAAATCAAGACACCAACAAGTGATTCAAACTATTAATGCTACACTAGTTCAGGGCCTTCTCAAGTAAAACCTGTGAAAGCAGCCAGGGGACGCTGTGACCTCTGCATTTGTTTTTTGCGTTAGCATTTACTTGTTTTTGTCCATTCTTTAGACATCAGCACTTAACATGACACAGTGCTCTGTAAAACCTATATGTCAAAAGAAGTAATCATTTATACTGGCTTTACTGTAAGCTGCAGCATCCAGGCTAAGTACAGTAGTAAATCTTAAGTTTGTTGTTATTCTGTACACACATGCGCACAGGAACTTGGAAACAAACAGGAATAAAGGAACAACAGGATATAAGGAACATATGAGGAATAACAGGAATAAAGAAGTGTTATAATGACTTAAGGCAGGCAGATAATGTGCCAAGTGCTTCAACATTTATGTTGGAAGGACTCTGCTAAGGTATGTTTGTATGCTTGTGCCTTCTCTAGTAAGGGAGCTGCTCAACAGTGGCGTGAGCCCAGATCTGGTCAACGAGGATGGGCTGACAGCCCTACATCAGGTACACACACAGCTGTGGGAGTCACCTGTGCAGTGACAAGGACATGATCCCTCACTGGTTTTTGACCTGCCAACACTGCCAATTGTGTTAACTGACATGCACAATTAAGCCAGTGATGTGGCCTGGCCACTCACACACTACACACAGATTTTCCTGTGCCAGACTGTCTTCATAACACAACAGGAAGAACTTAACATAAAATGTCTTCTGACCTTGTAGCAAGGCACAGTAAAATACATTTCTGCTGTCAGTCAGCCTAGTCGACACATTTTGTCTGTCCACTGTCTGCTGATAGACAGCTGTTCTGATGACACTGAATGTGCGTCTTTCTTTGTGTGAATTCCCAATAAGTGATGGGTTGTTGCATATGCACAGGTCCCCCCACCACATATTCAGTAGAGTACACAAGCACAGCTTTGCAGTAGTCACTAACACACTGCAATTGCCCTGAACAAGGTAGGTCACCTTAACTATTGCGTGTGTTTATATTGTGTACAGTCATACCTTGTAGTCACAAACTGTTTGCCAGTGATTGGGAGAGCAAGGGCAACCTGCCAGGCTTAGGGAAAGCTCAGCGTTATACAGATATGCTGTGACGGAGTTCAGCAATATCTGGGCACAGCCAGTTGGGATTATCTTTATTAAAGATGGTGACCGAGATTTTCAGAAAGGCTGAAAAGCTGTTGCATTTATCGTCCTGTGACCAGTACTATGACACTTTAAGTTTTGATATTTTTTCAGGCAAGAAAGGAACCATATAGATTGAGAATACACTGTCAGCTCATCAAAGTAATGTTAATGCCAATTTGGACATTTGCTCTGATGTTTTCAGAGATGTGGGTACCTGGTAGCAGACCAAGCTGGCTTTATTAGCAGGCAGCTACATCTCATTCAGAGCAGAGTACTTTGACAGCAAAGATACTGACGCTGGTATTCCAGGTGCACATGGAGAGTATTGTCCTCGCCAGTTTGGACTTCATCTTTGGACTAACTTATTACAATCGACAGCTGTGGCTGTAAACAAGTTGTACAGCAGGAAGTTGACTCCAGCATACATGTCACATATGTCCAGCTCTACACAACACACCCCTAGAACATCAACGTTGCCAGAGCTCAGTGACAGCAAACTACTTTGTGCTGTTACAGTTGACAGTTAGCAGTCATATTTCTAAGAAACCATATGAATCTTGTCTTTGGGACCTTGCAACCTTTGTAACTCAACTTTTTGTCTGTTCCTGTTTTCTGTTATTTATTTCTCTTTAAGTTAAAATGCATACAGTACACAACTCTTTGTGCTTCTTTGCATACTGTATGTTTTCAATGTTTATCTGTGCCCATTTTGTGTTCTGTGTCTGCTCCTCTTCATTTGTTTGTACATTCTCATACAGTGTCTATGCCTTTTCTATCTTCTCAGAGCTGTATCGATGACTTTGGTGATATCGTTCAGTGCCTGCTGGATGCTGGTGCCTGTGTGAATGCCTGTGACAGTGAGCTATGGACACCACTGCATGCTGCAGCCACTTGTGGACACACTGGTCTGGTGCAGCTTCTGATTCAGTCGTGAGTTTAGCTTAATTTTGTTGCAGTTTTGTTGTGGTCACAGGGATAAAAATAATGTAGAAATTCATAGGCTTAAATATTGTGGACTTTATGGTTTATCCCCCCATACAGGAAGAACTGATTATTTTCTGGACCATATGATAAACAGACTGAGTGTTTGGTTTACATAAACTATGCAAATATGGCTGCAGCTTAACCATTAGACCACTTTGCAAGTGTACAAATATTCTGGAGTGGCTTTGTGCACCAGGGTGTGTCACTGTATAATATTCTAATCCAGCTGTCTTTGTATATGGATGCATGCTTGTTTATGCTGTGTGTGTGTGTGTGTGTGTGTGTGTGTGTGTGTGTGTGTGTGTGTGTGCGTGCGTGCGTGCATGCTTCCAGTGGGGCTGATGTGCTAGCTGTCAATGCAGATGGCAAGATGCCCTATGACCTCTGTGAGGATTTGGCTACCCTCGAGCTGCTGGATATGGTTATGGCTGAACAGGGTAAGTTAGTTCAGTGAAATAAAAACTAGTAATGATGTGGCAGAAATTATTTAGTTTCCTTCACATTTTTCATTAAAGCTTAGACCATTATTTTTCAGGTGACACACAGTAATTAGCCATCTAAAATTAAAACCACAGAACTGTCATTGTCGGCTGTACACTTAACACTGCTAGTGCCTGTGTGCTAACTGGTATTTTTGCTTCTGTATGTGTGTGTGTAGGGATATCCCAGGACTATATAGAGAAATGCAGAGGGGCTAAAGAGAACACCATGCTGGCTGATATTCAGGCTTTGGTTCAGAGCGGAGCAGAGTTAAACACTCAGGATGAAAAGGGAGCAACACTGGTGAGACAGAGGGACACCTGCATAAAAGCAAATTATGGGACAAATTTAAAAACACTGTAGCAGCGTAGAGATTTTTGCTATATGTGCCATCTCAGGTTGCATTCACGGTTCTAAAAAATCTGGGAAACTAATGCAGTCCACAAGCAGTTTATTACTGCTTGTGGACCAGTTAAGAAATTGCACAAAGTCTGTTGAATTGTTCTGCTAATACCTGAGGAAATCTACTGAGTACAAGAATAAAAACTAAAAAATGTACAAAACTTTGAATTAGAAAATGGCAGAAACCTTGTAGTTATGGGTTTATTTTTCATTTTTCTAAAGGTGTAAAGTGCATTCTTTGGTTAACATGCCACTTTAATATTGTGTGTCTATATTGAATTTCTCTCCCAGCTCCATATAGCATCTGCTAATGGCTACATGTCTGTGGCAGAGCTATTGCTAGAGAACAGGGCCGAGGTGGACGTAAAAGATTCTGATGGCTGGACACCGTTGCATGCTGCCTCCTGCTGGGGACAAGTTAGTGCTGCAATGACTAAAAAATAAGAACCTACCATTTCTCCTAATTAACCCATTAATAGTGTTGATTTTATTTTTTTTCACAGATCCAAATGGTGGAACTGTTAATTGCCCACGGTGCCAGTCTAAACACAAAATCTCTCCTAGAGGAGACGCCTCTGGGTAAGACCAGAAAGGTGTTTTAGTCCTAAGTTGCCTCTTAGCCAAATAATGGGACTGACAGTACCTTTTACTCTGATGCTATAATGCTGAATCCCTACCTCAAGTATAATAATTCCCTCGGTTTAAAGAGAAACTCCTTATACAGACTTACTTAAATTTTCTTGACTGTACCTTTTACTGTCAGCATAGTGCATTTTATGCCTTCCATTGTCAAACCTTCAATGCTGATGCTATTTCAGATGTGTGTATGGATGATGAGGTCAAAGCCAGACTGATGGACCTAAAGCACAAACAAGATGCCATCATGAAAAGCCAGGACCGGCAGAAGGGCACACTGAAAAGAATGTCATCTAGTACTGGCAGCAGTAGGTGAGAAGGGACATGAGTCGAGGATAAAGAGTCCAAGGGAACCTGAGTGGGGAAAAACACACATAACAGTGGAGAAATGTAGTACTTTACTCTTGTTTTTCCATACAGTAAGGTGGTGCGTCGGGCCAGTGTGAACGAGCGCTCCAGCCTTTACCGGCGGGAGCACCACAAAGAGGCCATGGTGTGGCAGGAACGTGGCCGGCAGCCTGAGCCGCAGGATGAAGATGAGGACAGACAAACTGATAATGAGCTACACCAGCATGCCACCATGGTGAAGATGCTCTACTAACCTGTTTTGTCACATTTTCAAAGATTGTATGCTAATTAAACTCCATGTTTTGTTGAATGTTCCTGTGTTTCAGATTGCTGGGGGTGCAGCAGTCACACCATCACATTCAGATGAAAATGAAGCTGCAGACAGTAAAACACTGTTCAGCCTGGGTAATGGAAGGACACCCGTTTCCACAGCTGCCTCTGTGCCTGGGGAGTTATGGAGTGGTGGAGGTCTCATGGAGCACAGTGCCTCCTATAAGCTTAGGCCTATATCTGGAGGAGAGGGCGAAGGGGAAGACAGTATGACTCGAGAGAAATCTCACCAAACACTGGCTGACCTGAAACGCCAGCGGGCAGCTGCCAAGCTCAATAAATACCCAGAACCTCCACCTCACCTGCCCCCTCCTTTAGAGGATGAATCTTCTGTTGCAGCATCGGAGGTGACAACCACTCAGGCCCAGCCAGAGCTCCAAGTGACGACCAGTACAGAGCCAGTGGCCTCCCCTAGCCAGGTGTACTTCACCCCAGCCAGCGGAGATCCTCCACTGCTTAAACTCCGAGCCCCTGAGGAGGATCAGCCTAACAACAAGGAACCTTGCTGTGGACTAATGTAGACAGCTTGCCATGCTCATTCAAACATAATGCCTGCAGATTGGAGAAACTGAGCATGTCACACTCTCCAGTGGCAGACATGCTTGGAAAAATATAATTGAAGACTGTAAGTTAAGGTCACATGCCAATCAGGGTTGGCTTTACTCTGCATGTCAGATAAGTGTTGCACATGCAGTCTTTTGTGCTTATTCCATTGTCTTTTCTTAATCAATGTTCAGACACTTTACGCTGGAAGTCCCAGCATTCCCGACAGGTCCCAGCCTCTTGGTAAGAGGTTGATCAGATGGACAGGTATCTGTAACACTTCTGGTGTTCTTCCATCAGCACAGGTCAGCCCCGTGGAGCCGTGCTGAGCTGTTTCCAAGATGGCACAGTTGTTTCCACTGCATGGTAAAATGTTTTGGTTTTTTGTTTTTTTTTCGCTCCTGCATCTTTACACATGGGGACAGCGTGAGCTGCTCATAAGTGACACATAACTCATGGTGTTGGTGTGGTGATATTAACTTGCAGCATCAGAAGAGCAAGACAAGGACTCCATTTTTTTAAATCTTGCTGCAGTGAAATAAGTGATAAGTCGTTTCAGCCAATCATATGTCTAGGTGAGTTGTCTCTGTTGAAGGTGGAGGTCGGTCCCACTTGGCCATGGACACAAGTGGGCCAGCTGAGCCCAGTCAGCACAACCACCCCATGCTGCTAGGAACACATGGAAATGGCTTGGCCCAATTAAAGCAGGCTGACCCATGCTGATGGAAAAACACCACTGGTATCCCACTGTTGACTGGGAATAAGACGTTTGTGTTGCAATCACACGCGGTGATCTGCTTTTCTTAGTCTTTGTGGTCATTATTACATGACTCTAAGGCCATGTTTTCTGTACTGACTGACTGCTGTGAAGATTATGTGATCTGCATTTCAGCACTGACAGAAGCAGGAGGGTTTTTTGAGAGATTGGTTGGTCATGATAGTTTCAGCATACAGTAGCTATTTCACATTTACACAAAGATGTAAACAAGGACTCTTTTGCTAGATTTTTTTTGTTTTTCTTGGACTGAAAATGTACTGAACTTTTAGTCTTTTGTTTTCCAGTGCACAAAAACATTTCATAAGTATAATGGTGCAATTTGTAAATTACTGTATTTCTCTGTTTCTATTTTTCTGAGTAGAATCACATTATTTATTTTATCCTACATTGAACCTTGCTCATGATGTACAGTTATTGTAAATTTTTTCTAAAAAAGTTTAATATAATTCTATTAAGAGGAAAAATGTGAAGCAAGATAGTTTTGTGTATAGTTTCTTTGTCAAACTATAATATAATTTATCAAAGGTGCCTTCTTTTGTGGCATTTCCTATATACAATGCTGTTCCCAGAAAACTGTAAATAAATACAGATTGCAGTGACTTGCAAATAGTTTAAAACCTATATTTATACTCTTTGAAGCCAGCAACAGGTTTTAAAGTTGGGACAGGGGCGTTTACCACTGTGTTGCTCTGAATCACTGAGAACTGAGGAAAACTATTCTCTTAGTTTTAAAAGAAAATTGCTTTCCTGTTCTTGCTTGCTAGAGAGTACTGACAACAGCTAGCAAGCAAGATCATATTTCTACCATATTAGTTTCTCTTCATTGGCTCTAAAATCCAGAACAGAATTTAAAATCCTAACATACAAAGCCCTTAATGATCAGGCTCCATTGTGTCCTAAAGACCTCACAGTATCATATTATCTCAATAGAGCACGCCATTCTCAGAATGCAGGTCTGCTTGTGGTTCCTAGAGTTTCCAAAAGTAGAATGGGAGGCAGAGCCTTTAGCTATCAGGCTCCTCTCCTGTGGAACCAGCTCCCATTTTGGGTTGGGAGGCGAGCACCCTCTCTACCTTTCAAGGTAAGGCTTAAAGCCTTTTTTTGATAAAGCTCCTAATTAGGGCTGGCTCAGGTAGCCCTGAGCCTTCCCTTAGTTATGCTGCTATAGGCCTAGTTTGCTGGGGTACTCCCATGCTCTGACAGCCTCTCCATGCTATTACAGTACAAGCCACCAATGCATGTCATTAACTTTGTGTCCTCTCTCTCTCTCTCTCTCTCTCTGTGTGTGTCTTTCTGCAGATATTCCCGGCTCTGGAGCTCTATGTTTCTGATGAACAGTCACTGTCTGTGTCCTGGTGCTCGTCTTTTCTCTCTCCTCTAGCCAGTCACCCCAACTGGTCTATCAGAGGTTTCTGTGAAAGGGAGTTTTTCTTTCCCGCCGTCACCAAGTGCTCATTCTAGAAGAATTTGTTGGGTTTTACTCTATAATCCTGTAAAGTGCCTTGACATTATATTATTTTATTTTTGTGATTTGGCACTATACAAAAATATAAAAATACAGGACTGCTCAACAGTACAGGGCTTCATTTGTCATATTTTAGCATCATTGTGGCTGTTCAGTGTTGGTTTTAAGCCTTATCCCTTTGCATACAGAGATTCCTTTGGATTCTTGATATACTGCAAATGATGAAAACCCCAAATTCTTTGCGTTTTTATGTTGATAGACATTCTTAAATTGTTGAACTATTTGCCACACAGTACTGAACCTCACCTCATCCTTACTCATCCCCTCTGGGATACCCTTTTCATACTTGGTCATGATACTGAGCTATTGATGATTAAGTAAAGGTTTTTAAGCATTACACAACTTTTCCAGTCTTTTGTTGCCCCATCCCAACTTTTTTGTAATGTTTGCTGGCCTCAAATTCAGAGTAAACTAAAATAATTTTATCTGAACATTAGCAGTTTTTGTATTGTTACCAAATGAATATGGGGTAAAAGGAGTTTCCAAAACATTGTTTTTATATTTTATACAGCATTCCAATTTTTTTGGAAATGGGATTGTATATAGGTTTGCAATGCTTGCCCAAAGTCCCACATGTAAAGCTGGTCATCAGTGGGATTAAATGCTCTATCGCACCCTGGACATACTACCTTAATGAACTGTCAGTGCACTTCAGTTTCTGTATTACATATCAGTTTTGTTAGCAATTTTCACTGCACATGGTTTAGAAAAATAAATGTATATTGTTTTCCCAAGTGAGGTTTGGATGTTTTCTTGTTGTCTACATTATCTTTAATATATCTGGACATTATACACTCCCTCCGTGTCGGCACATGTTGAACGCTACAGCCCTGTCTGATCCATTTACAGGGTCAGCACATGACAGACTTGTTCTAAAAGCATTACAGCTGTAATAAACCCTTGTTTTAGGTTATTAATTGCGTTTATGCTTGTGCATTGGTTTTTCTGAGATTAACTTAAAAGAATCTCACAAATGCAAACATGCTTCTGCCTGCATGTATAGATATTAACAGTGTCCAGGTCATATTGCTTAGGGTGTGCAAAAAAAAAATTTAAACCTCCTTATATTCAGATATGTTTTGACTGTAAGCCATGGGTCGTGATCTAAGAAGGTAGGTCCTGTAAATCTTCCTGTCCACAAATCTTAGTAATTCGGGACCTGTTTTATTGTCAACTGTAGTGTTCATCTGTCATTTAAAAATAGGTCAGAAGTCACCAGGGCATCACATGATTGTATATGAACCATTTTAGTCTGGCATGTCAAATGTCACTGCCAAGCTCTTATGAAGACATCTGTGCTGTTTCTCTGTTTCACTCTCTGTTCTCTCATAGACAGCTGATTCTGTGGTTCATTTGCACGTTCCTTGTTCGATGTCCAGCCCTCTTATTACCAACATGTCCCTCTGCGTACTCTTGAGTATTGCTACCATTAATACTCTGTTGAATTCATGTCCTACGGGAAAAATAAAACTGCTTCCACATGACTTCAAACCTAAAATGGCTAAACATTTTGAGAACCGTGACCTAAACAATGCTAGTGAAACGTTTAATTTTGACAGGGTTGATTTATTCACTGACATAAGGATTTGCTTCTGAAACATGAGCTCAAGGTTGTGAGTGATATCCTATAAGCTTTGGACATGACAGTGATGTTTCATGAAATACCTCCATGCCAGAACTGTTTATCAGTCTTGTTTAGATGTTTGTTTCCCCTTACCTTAGCACAAACCCAACCTTAGCCTTGACCCTTTGAATTTTTTTTCATTTTAACAGTTTTTTTAAGCTTTGTTTTGTCATAACTGATTTCCTCCTGTTTTAATGCTATTGCTTCTCTTTGCACTTTGAATTGCATTTGTGTATGAAATGTAAATAAAGCTGCCTTGCCTGAACCTCTGGCTCTACTGGAAACACAATTTGAAGGGGAAAGAGACTTTACCACCTGCCTTTCTTATAATGGGTTGATGCTAAGTTTACTTATTTAGTCTGCTTGTTTATTTTCTATAGGACACCGGCTTCCAGGCTCACAAAGACACTGTGAAAACTGTTGGCTGCTGGCCTCTGGGAGCATGGCACAGACTAAGCTGTTCCAAAGACAAGTAATTTATGGTTTAAGTCTCTGAATGGGGTTTTGTTGAAAATGTTAGTAATATAGAAAGTGACTGGCCTTGTCCTTAAAGCATCTAATTTCAACTTCTCTCTCCCGTTGCTCCGCACGACGGGCCCTCGAACCACTTTTCTCTCGGAAATAAAGCCGTTATTCGACATGTAAAAGCCAGAGAGGAGGCCAGTGAGGAGCCCCAGCCAATCAGGAGCAGAAGCGGGTGTGAGGCGTGGCGCTCGGCTGGGAATATGAACACATGCTCAACGGTCACTCGGACCATGGAGGAGCGGGAGAGAAAGTGAACGTACGGACTGAAGTGACTCATAACCCACTGGTGACAGCTGATATCTCCTCATAGACGGTTACAGTTGCTGTTTCTGCTTGTTAATGATACCGCTCAATCTCCTCTTGTGTTTCAGATATCAATCCGGTGTGTGACATCGACAACGCCTGTCGCCCCACAGAATAAATATGTCCCAGGAGGCAGTGAACGGGGTCCCGTCCCGGGGAAAGGTGCTGACTATGGATAACATGAACCCCAACCTGAAAAGGATCGAGTACGCGGTCCGGGGTGTCCTAGTCCAGCGGGCAATGCAGATAGAGAAGGAGCTGAATGAGGTAAAGTCAAGTGTGGGGCTGTAAGTGGACCGGAGCAGAATTTGGTAATGCCCGTGGAAAATCAGAAAAACTCGATAATTATAATAATGATAATAATAATAAAAATCCATAGTAGCCTAAATACAAAAGTGGAATTGTAAAATGAAGTCATGCATGTCCTTGTGTGGTATGTGTGTGTGTTTAGGGGGAGAGGGGAGGGAGGAGTGGATATACTGCACAGCTGTTGATCTCTGTTTTCACAGCTGGAATTTGACTTCAGTCAACAGCTAGATACAGGTCGTTTTTTGCCTTAAGTTGGTAATTTGCTCTTTTTTTTTTAATTTCAAATACCTTTTGTTCATTCCCTTATTATTAAAAACACCACAGGTTTAAGAGTATTAAAGTGCCTCTCAGTGCGTTTTGGCACACACCAGGTAAATAAGACTGTGCTCTGCTAGCTGATTCCTTAAGATATTGGAAACTAAACCGAAAGGCAATAGAAGTATGCAATCCAGATTAAAAAGCTGCATGACATGATTAGTTTTCACTGACTGTCTGAGAGAATAAAATCAGGACATAGACAGTAGGTCAGCTTTTAGAAGTCCTCAGCCATGGCGTGACTGTCTTGCTTCTGCGTTGCCGTGCATAACAACTCATATTACATTCTGCTGGGGTGCTGTCCCAAGGAGGGACAAGAAGTCTGAGTGTCTTTTGTACAGGACGTAATCAGCTGAACAGGGAGTCCTAGCTGGCTTTGAGAGCACTGTACTCTTCTTTAACCCGAGGTGGCTGCAGGGTCCACAGTGGACTATATTATAGAGGGCTATTACAAAGAGGAGTGGGTACATTTTCTGCCCTCTTTTGTCTCTCTAGTATTGCCCACCTCCCTTCTCCCCACAGAGGGAGAGAGTTCATTGTACCCAGCTCAGAGACCTTTCTTTACAATAAGATTCATTATAAGCAACCCCAGTTCTGCAGAGAATGCTGGAGCTCATGGTACTTGTTTTTCCTCCACTTAAAGAAGTAAAAGCCAAACACGTGATAACCATGCTAATGCCCACTTAATACTTGTTTAAGTTTAATAAAATGGTCAGATACAAAGTCGAGATCCAGAGTGTAATAATAAACATTACTTTAGACAAACCTACTTTATACAAGATATACTAATAGTGTGTTAAGTCCACATGAGTTGTTTATAACAGTGTGTTGATAAGTGGCTTTCCTGAGCAAACACAATTATGTGCTTGTGTTTGAATTTACCTGTGAAGTGGCAACACTTGCTTCAATGCAAATGTGAGCAAAAAGTGAAACGTAAAGTCCACAAGTTCTCTGAGAGGTCGGGAGGGTTTAAATGGACGCAGTTGCCCAGTCATGAAAGTTTGCTTCCTGTCTGATGTGTGACGGAAACACTTTTACTGGTGGCTCAGCAGATTCTATGCATGCATGTGGTATGGTGTCCGTTATACAGCGTATCCTCACCCAGACATCTGGCATGACTGTACTGCATTAAGCTAATTTTGGCTTGGAGCTCAGCTGCTGGCATATAGGTTTGCATTGTCTGCCAACAAAGTGGAGACAATAATGTAGAGTACCAATTTAGAAAATGAATCCAATTAGCATTTTTATGTAATTCTTCTATATGCCATGACTGGGTTCCTTTTCTTCTGAGACTTGCCTGTTTCATCTAAATTGACATTCAGAGTTAGATAAATCACATAAGAGAGGCAGCAGCAGTTGTTTTTCAATTCACTTTAGACGGTAAGAGCTTGAATTAGTGCAGTTCCAGTCACTTTACTGTGACTGAATGTAGAGGGATGACAATGACCATATCATAAGACTAAGTGAAATGTTGTCAGGCTTTTTCAGCCTAGTGATCCGTGGGGTTTCTTGGCCTGGTTTCACTAGTCCAGCCTTGTAGTGAGTGCCTGGTGCGGACTGAGCAGGACAGCTCAGTGCTGAGCTGGGGACAGGGCTGGCTCCTCTCATTCCCAGAGAACAGCAGCTTCTTTGTTGCTCAAGAACAAACAGGGACAAAGACTAAAAAAGAAACGTGCTTCATCCAATTACAAACAAGCTCATGCCGGACTTAAACGAACCTAGGTAGCCTTGATTGTCTTATTATTGTTGTTATGCAAGGACACACAAATGTTAACTCTTTGAAGTGGTCCAAGCTGATCTTACTGATCAGTACTGGGGGTGATCCAGTTGTGTTTAATGAACTGGTGCTAGCTAAAATAAAGCCGATCAAGGCACTCATCCTTCGTCCATCACAGCCTGCTGGAGCTGCAGCGCTGCTCTCCCACAGCCAGTCAAGCTGTTAATTAATGTTAGTGGCCTTGAGGCCTGGCCAGAAAACAGTTAAAGCACTATCTGCAGCTGATATCTAAATTCTAGAGATTATTTGTGAAGTAAGAAGCCCCACTGTCTAACACTGCTGTGCAGTTAGAGCTGACTGAGTGACCTATAGCTCCAACAAGCCCAACAGAGCGAGACAACCTCTCTGTAATGATCACGTCTTATCAGTTTTAGGAGTCACCTCCCAGTTAAACTTTCGTTCATATCATATCAAGAATAAAGTCCTCCCTGTGCCCTCTGAGGCCCTTTGGTTTTTATCTTATAAAATGTTGAATTATGGCAGTGGTTAAGTTTAGTCAGATTTTAAAGGTATTTTAAAAAATAAAACAAAACAAAACAAAACAAAAAAAAAATACTTTTGTGGGGCAAAGACAAGGGAATCAGAACAATCTGGCACAATTTTCAGATCCATAACACTAATGAACCAGAGGCAGGCTTCAGGTCAGTGTTTATATTTTGTGTTATATTTACTGGCTTTGTGCAGATTCGACCTGACTTGAAAAATGGCGATAACTTTGGTCAAATTGATGCGTTTGGTTGAGCCAGGAATCATAGCTCTTGTCTACTCCACAGCCAAGATAAGCAGCTGGGCAGACACAGAGCTGTATAATTAGTCACATTTATCATTTTGCTTCCTTGAGGAGAATGATATGCCTTGCAGTTGTGTTTAAATTCACAAAGAGTTTGTTTTTGTTCTAAAATATTGATGAATTTCAAATTTCATTTCAAATACGTTACTGGACATTGTTAGTTTCATTTGGCTTTGTATTCCCATTGGATTTCACACCACCGTGCAATTTTAAATGTACAAACCAGAAAGTAAAAAAATCCTTATGATTATCTATCTTATCCTCATGATTAACCACAATATTACATTTCAGCCATGCTGGTCAGCCCTGACATTCAGTTTCAGAAGACATCTATTGTCTCATTACTTCATTCAATAAACAGCAACAGATGCAGCAGCAAGCAGAAATACAGGCACCAAACCAGTGCTGCAGGATCCAATTAGGGTCAAGAGATGAAGATGAAGGACTTAATAATTCAATAGAGAGAAATAGTGAGTGGGTAGAAAGACCGAAATGATTTAGGTGAGCTGACGAATAAAATGAAAAGGCTTGTCATGCGATTCCACTGGGCCAGTCACAAACAGTGAGGGGTTTGTCTGCCCAGGCCAGCACTTCCTGTTCCACAGGCCAAAACAGACTCTGTGCCAGTGTCTGTGTAAACAAAAGAGTGCTAATGAGAGAAGATGCATGCTTGATTGAGAGGGGTGGGAGATGTAGTCATTAGTCTTCCCAGTCTCTCAAAGAGTTTAATTTGCCACCACAGAAGGCAAGTGTGGAACAGTTTAAAGCTTCCCTGATACAATGTTTTCCTTATCATGATAACATTTATGACGCAGGTTTTAGAAGAAGGTGAGGCCTGCTACCAACATCAACAAACGAGATTTGTATCTCAAGGTCAGTGAATGTAGAAGGGCTGTGCAGAAAACAGACATGTACAGTTTTCTCAGTTTGTACATTCTTTATAATTTTCTCCTAACAGCCAAAAGCAAGACAAATGAATGCTCTAGACTGGAGACACATATTGATTATTATAGAGGCACTACTCGTACAAACTGCAGCCTGCAGCTGTTATGTTGTACATCTGCACTTCTAAAAACTTGCCAGTCAAGATGTGATAACTATGTTCATTTAAAAAACTTCTGTCTTCCTTATCAAGTGAGGCAAACAAAAGAAAACAAGAAGCCTGACCTTTGGCATTGCATAGTCTTGAAGTTACAGTTGTATCTCCGCTCTCCTTTGCACTCACATACTCCATTTTACATAGAGATAAATCCTGTTGGTTGAAAAACTGAAATGGCAAATAACAGAGTCACCAGTATCTCCATAGTTTTCCACTGTTTTTATATTTTTTACATCTTATACAGAGCTCTATATCTACCCAATACAACTGCATCCTAGAGTTCTCTGTCTTTGTCTTTTCAGGGAGTCAAGAAACCTTTCAAAGAAGTCATCAAGGCAAACATAGGTGATGCCCATGCCATGGGTCAGAAGCCAATCACATTTTTTAGACAGGTTGGACCATTTTGTACATTCTCAAGTCATTTGAGTGCTTGTGCTCAATAAGCAGGTAGCACTCACAGTTACTACTGAATATAGAGGGTGCCTGTGATTTGTTTGCCTTCTCTCAGGTTTTGGCTCTGTGTATGTACCCTGAACTCCTGGATGATAACATGTTTCCAGAGGATGCCAAGAAAAGAGCACGTCGTATTCTCAAGGCCTGTGGAGGCCAGAGTATAGGTCAGACAACTTCCCCCGTCACTCCACAAACCACATCTTTCCAACACGCGTCACTAGCTTCTACCTCTACACGTCTCTTCATTAATCATTTATCTCGTCTGTACACACTTTAGACGAAGCATCAACTGATCAATGGAGCATGTTTGAATCAAAGTTCATCTTCATGTGTTGAAGGTGCCTACAGTGCTAGCCAGGGTATCGAGTGCATCCGTCAGGATGTGGCACACTACATAGAGAGAAGAGATGGCGGAATTCCCTCAAACCCTGACAACATCTACCTCTCCACCGGAGCCAGTGATGCCATTGTGGTAAGGGTTATGATTCTGTTTGTCTCTTCTCCATGAAAAGTGCTGACACGCTGTTGGCCAGACTTCCCAAAACTGTTTTACAAGTTGATATGTAACCTTAATCCAGCACAGGTGATATACTTTTTGTATAAGTGTCCTATGACTCTGTGTAATTTATTTTGCTTTCGTTAATAATATACTCAGCTGCACTTTGCACATTTGTAGCTTTACTCCACCCACAGATCTCTGTTTCTGTAAGAACTGCTTTTTCCAGTATGCATTGCCAAGCCTTGTATTGTGCAGCTGTTTTGTAATGTCTGTGGCCATATTATCAGGCCTGATTGGTTGTACATGTGTCCTTCTTAATTTATATGAACACCCTATAAATCCAGATGCATTATTCCAAACCCTTCCAATTCCAGACTATGCTGAAGTTGCTGGTGTGTGGTGAGGGTCGTGACCGTACAGGAGTGATGATCTCCATCCCTCAGTACCCTCTGTACTCAGCCACCCTGGCAGAGCTGGGTGCCGTGCAGATCAGCTACTACCTGGACGAAGAGAACTGCTGGAGTCTGGATGTCAAAGAACTTAGGAGAGCCCTCAATGCAGCCAGGCAGCACTGCAATCCTCGTGTACTCTGCATCATTAACCCTGGAAACCCCACTGGTATCTCTGGTTATAGTACTCTGATCATGTGAAATGAAACTTTTGCTGGTATTTTTAAATTTTATATAGAAAACATAAACCTGATCAATCTTGTCATCTAAAAAAAATCAACATCTTTGGGTGGAGAATGTTTTGGCAGTTTAGAATATTTTGAGTTTTCATTTTCTCCCTCTTCCAGTCCCTTAACCTATTTGCTCTGCGTGACAGGTCAAGTCCAGAGCAGGCAGTGCATTGAAGATGTAATCCGATTTGCCAAAGAGGAGCATCTCTTCCTCATGGCTGATGAAGTAATTTACAAACGTCATTTCCTCCTTTTCACTCTTCGTTTTTTTCTGTCTTAAAGAACAAATTAACAATAAGTCATATAAAGAAGACTTTTTTTAAACACATTTTATGCATATTGCACTTCTTCTGATTAAAAGCAACGGTGTTTTGTTTTTCAAAGGTTGACCACCTTCTTTCACATCTCTATGTAAGATGTGACCAGAATTATTATGTACTTCAAAGTTTTAGCTGACGCACAGAGCAGTGCAACAATCAGCTTTCTGACAATGTTCCATACCACTCCTGCATGTTCAGTAAACAGGCTGACAAAACAGAAACACCTCTCAACAAACAGCATTCCAGTACTGCAGTAACTACAGCTTTAACTATGATCATATAAACTGGAAGTCTAAAAAGACAAAAAGTACCAACTGTAGTATGATGACTGAATACGTTTTTAATTGACTGAGTTCCAGAAAAAAAAGATAAAGTAAAAATGGTAAAATAAAAAATGGTAACATACAAGTTAAACACAGTATAACATTTGCTGTGTTCTTGTGTTTTTGCCACTTATATTACTCTCTTTCAGTCCACATTAATCAGTAATCTGCACGTCTTAGCTAATTCTTATGTGCACATATGTTTTCTTATAGATTTGTTATGAATAATTTAACAAAGCCTTCTGTATTTAAGCTGTTTTCCAATTTCAGGTCTACCAGGATAATGTATATGCAGAGGGCTGTAAGTTTCACTCTTTCAAGAAGGTCTTATTCGAGATGGGACCAGAGTACTCAAGCACAATGGAGATGGCCTCCTTCCACTCCACCTCCAAATGCTACATGGGAGAGTGAGTAGCTACACACAGACTAGACATCTGCATGAAACATACATCTGTTTTTTATTTATTTATAACTAAAGGTACCCTATGGAGTTTTTCACCTTTAGTACCACTCAGGAGCTCTTTATATACAGTGCCTTGCGAAAGTATTCGGCCCCCTTGAACTTTGCAACCTTTTGCCACATTTCAGGCTTCAAACATAAAGATATAAAACTGTAATTTTTTGTGAAGAATCAACAACAAGTGGGACACAATCATGAAGTGGAACGAAATTTATTGGATATTTCAAACTTTTTTAACAAATAAAAAACTGAAAAATTGGGCGTGCTAAATTATTCAGCCCCTTTACTTTCAGTGCAGCAAACTCTCTCCAGAAGTTCAGTGAGGATCTCTGAATGATCCAATGTTGACCTAAATGACTAATGATGATAAATAGAATCCACCTGTGTGTAATCAAGTCTCCGTATAAATGCACCTGCACTGTGATAGTCTCAGAGGTCCGTTTAAAGCGCAGAGAGCATCATGAAGAACAAGGAACACACCAGGCAGGTCCGAGATACTGTTGTGGAGAAGTTTAAAGCCGGATTTGGATACAAAAAGATTTCCCAAGCTTTAAACATCCCAAGGAGCACTGTGCAAGCGATAATATTGAAATGGAAGGAGTATCAGACCACTGCAAATCTACCAAGACCTGGCCGTCCCTCTAAACTTTCAGCTCATACAAGGAGAAGACTGATCAGAGATGCAGCCAAGAGGCCCATGATCACTCTGGATGAACTGCAGAGATCTACAGCTGAGGTGGGAGGACATAGTACAACAATCAGTCGTCATCATCATCATACTGCACAAATCTGGCCTTTATGGAAGAGTGGCAAGAAGAAAGCCATTTCTTAAAAATATCCATAAAAAGTGTCGTTTAAAGTTTGCCACAAGCCACCTGGGAGACACACCAAACATGTGGAAGAAGGTGCTCTGGTCAGATGAAACCAAAATCAAACTTTTTGGCAACAATGCAAAACGTTATGTTTGGCATAAAAGCAACACAGCTCATCACCCTGAACACACCATCCCCACTGTCAAACATGGTGGTGGCAGCATCATGGTTTGGGCCTGCTTTTCTTCAGCAGGGACAGGGAAGATGGTTAAAGAGAATCTGTGGAAAGAACTGAAAACTGCTGTTCACAAATGCTCTCCATCCAACCTCACTGAGCTCGAGCTGTTTTGCAAGGAGGCATGGGCAAAAATTTCAGTCTCTCGATGTGCAAAACTGATAGAGACATACCCCAAGCGATTTACAGCTGTAATCGCAGCAAAAGGTGGCGCTACAACGTATTAACTTAAGGGGGTTGAATAATTTTGCACGCCCAATTTTTCAGTTTTTTATTTGTTAAAAACGTTTGAAATATCCAATAAATTTCGTTCCACTTCATGATTGTGTCCCACTTGTTGTTGATTCTTCACAAAAAATTACAGTTTTATATCTTTATGTTTGAAGCCTGAAATGTGGCAAAAGGTTGCAAAGTTCAAGGGGGCCGAATACTTTCGCAAGGCACTGTATAATATGACTGTAAACAGTAAATGTAAACATGGCTTGGGTGCTTACAAGAAAACTTGGCACAGGGCACATTGAAATGACGCTTCAAGTTCCTGCTTCTGCTAAGTATGCTCCTGTTGCTGACGTGAACTGCACCGGTACTAATAGTATACTTTGTGTTTGACTTGTTACTCTGTTTGCGTTGTCAGGTGTGGATTTCGTGGCGGCTACATGGAGGTGATAAACTTGGATCCTGAGGTGAAGTTCCAACTCACTAAACTGGTGTCGGTGCGTCTGTGCCCCCCTGTTCCCGGACAGGCTCTCCTGGACCTGGTGGTCAACCCCCCACAGCCCAGTGAGCCCTCCTATGCCACATTTATGAAGGTCTGGAAAACACAAAGCTTACCAGCTAGCACACATCACCAGCTAGCACACATCCTGGCAATGCTCTAAGTGTATGCAAACACAACGTACTTATGTAAACACTGCTACATTCCATGCCATGTATTCTATGCTCATAAAGCCTGTGCTGAGTTTGCTGTAGTTTCAAGTTCTCACATGGGCACTGACTAACCTGCGTTTGAATCAAGATCACGCTCTTACATGATTTGATTTGATTTTGATTTGATTTGATTTGATTTATTCATTCAAGCATGTAAAACAGTTGATATGTCAACACATGTAATTTCACACATATCCAACAATAATAATCCAATATCAATTTACTTATACCTAGTACATGCTTGAACGGAGTAGGAAGAAGTTAGACTTATCTAGTCCTACCCCATGACATCATCTTACAACATTTAAGTCCTAAGCAGTATCTCTACATAAACAATTATCCTCTACACCACACAAGTAATATACTACAGAATTATTACAGAGTGTTAACATTCTACATAATTACATTCATAGATAATTATCTTCTACGCCACACAAGTAATATACTAAAGAATTATTACAGAGT